CGGGACTGTGGGGATGGGCTGAGGGAAAAACACGAACTGGTGCTGTAGAAGTCTGGATATTTGGGTCTTCAGGGAACTGTCATTGGCAAACCAGACTATTTCTCTCGAAGAAAAGTGTTTGTAGAAGAAATAATTCCCAGGGTTTGTTCTACTTTTCTGGCCAAGGTTTGTCAACGGCTCTCTTAAACTTCTTTTCTGCCTCTTGGGCACTATTGGATCCCTTGGCTGTACTGAGGTCTGGACTGGGGACTGGTTATTACTTGTTCTGGGCTCCACTCACACTGGTGGCCCTAATGTGTCTCAGTGGATAAGTCAAATGAGTATAACTGAGAGAGTGGTTTGTTTCAAGAGTGACAAGTGGTGAAGGGATCACTAATGCAGCTCTTTTTCAGTATAGGCCTGCTCACAATGTGGCAGGCTACTGGGTCCTCAGAAAAACTCCTGGGTTCATCTCTTACGCTATGGCCTCTAGAGTATTTATTTTCCTTTCCATAATTTGGATTTTAAATGTCCCAAAGTTCAAAGGGTTAGTGGCTTTGTTGCCAACTAGTGGTCCTGTTAGGAGGTGGTAGAATTTTTAAAAAGTGAGGTCTAGTAGAAGAAGGTTGGGTCATTGGGGGTGTAGTGACTTTGAAGGATTATGGGACCCCAGCACCTCCTCTTCCTCTCTTTGCTTCCCAGTCACCATGAATGAGTAGTGACTGCCATGTTCTGCATGATGTACTGTGTGGCACACAGGGCGCATGACCATGGCTTCAAACCTCTGACATCATGAGCCTTTTGACTAAGGAAGAAAAAGCCCCATGGGAGGTCACTGGTGTGTTCATGAGCTCCCTTTAGACTACATCTGGAGTGGTAGTTGGAATTGAAGTCAACTTAGCTATGTTTCATAGTAATCAGTGTCAATTCTCCAGAGCCTGTGCTTCCATGCTGAGTGGGTAGTGAGTCAAATGGGATGTGGTGGCTGTCACCACCTTGCATGTGTCAGGTATGGTTATCACCCTCATCGCCTAAAGGCTCCATGAAATGTGGCTTCTTTGAAGTCACTGTGTTGCTTAGGGAGGTTCCCCTTTCAATCCCTGCTGTGACAGCACCTGGACAAAGCAGGCATGTGTGTTTTATCTTACTTTACTAATAAGGAATTGGAGTAAGCATCAAGTTTTAAAACTTGTGTTCATAAGTGTGCATTTCTGGATGTGATTACTAGGTAAGAAGCCATATTATTCTGTTTTATTGTAATGAAATACTGAGGCTGGGTACTTTATTAAGAAAAGAGGCTTATTTAACTCACAGTTCTGGAGATTCAAGAACATGGTGCAGTACTGGCTCTGCTCAGGTGAGAGCCCTCTGCTGCATCAATCATGGTAAAGGGATTATGGGGAGACTGCATGTGAGTGGGAGAAATCACATGGTAAGACAGGAAGCCAGGGAGAGATGTGGAAGGGCCAGACGTGCATTTGATAACAACCTTTTATCAAGAACTAACAAGTTCCCACAAGAAGTACAATTCCTTCCGAGGGCAGGGCCTGTAACAACTTAATTTTTCCCACTGGTCCTCACTCTTAAAGGTTCCACACCATGCTAACATGCCATATTTCAGACCAAGCTCCCAGCATTGGAACCTTTGGGGACACACTTTAACCATGTCCAGCAGAAGCTGTTTTGCAAAGTACATGTAAGTTGATATCCAAGCTAGCCTGTGAAAAACCTTATCAGTAGCAACATGTACTTTTGATTGTATGTATCTATATGTAATGTCGTTGTCATTCTTTTTTTATTTATATGCAACTTCTAAAGTGATTTTGATATCCCTGAGTAATAAGCTGTATTGTTCACATACTTACAAAGTCTCGTGTATCACTTTCATATGTATTCAGAAAGATTCTGTTGCCTATGACAGTGGTTTTCAAATTTTAGTGTACATTTGAATAAGATGAACAGACTGAAAATGCAGACTCTGGGGCTTACCCTGGATTCCTGTCTCTGCAGAAACCTGCATCCTTAACACTCATCCTTCCAGGGGGATATAAATGACCCATAGACCATAGCTTGACCAGTGCTGATCTAGAAGTTTGCTAGATATAGTAGATATACTTACAGCTTTGCATATTCAAACTCAAAAAGAGAAATTCCCAGGGAATTGACTGGCTGGGGTTGAATAGTCTTTGTAGATGATGGTAACTCATGCTGTGCTGCGCTCTCTCTTCTTTGGTAGGGGGCGTTTCGGCCAGGTTCACAGGTGTAAAGAGAAAGCAACAGGTCTGAAGCTGGCTGCCAAAATCATTAAGGCCAGAAGCACAAAGGACAAGGTAAAGGCCACGAGAAGTAGATCTCTGCCCCTGACCAGTTTCTACCTACTCATGGTGTTCCCTTCTGCTCAGGAGGAAGTGAAGAATGAGATCAACATCATGAACCAGCTGGACCACGTGAACCTCATTCAGCTCTACGATGCCTTCGAGTCCAGGAATGACATTGTCCTGATCATGGAGTAGTATGTGTTCCCTCCCCCTCACGCCCTTCTTCACAAGCCTTTTCTCTGTACCTTGTTACAATGAGATTGCAGCTCTGTTTTGCCTCAGCAGGGTGGAAGCAAGCGCAGTGCATGATTGCGGCTGATTTGCATGAATCACATAATCTAATCACTTTCAGAAAGGAAACTGGTTATGAATACACATCTTCCAATGTGATTCATTGATAAGAAGTAGCAGGACAAAGTAGATAAGGCTTTGTGTCTAAGTTCTATTGTCAACAAGCAGGTTTAAATTCTACCTTGGGAAAGAATTCCTCTATTCTAGAGGAAAGTGATTTTTGAGCTGCATCTCATTTTCAACATATACCTGTCCTCTTATAACCTCAGGGAAATGTTCCAAGACCCGCAGTGGATGCCTAAAACTGAGGCTAGTACTGAGCCGTATAGATACTACTTTTTTTCTATATGTATACACTATGATAAAGTTTAATTTAAATTAATAACTAATAATAAAATAAAACAATTATAACAATAAACTGTAAAAAATTATGTAAATATGGTTCATCTTTCTCTCCAAATAACCTTATTGCACTGTTCTGACCACAGTTGACTGCAAGTAACTAAAATCCAGAGAATAAACTGGGAAGAAATGGGGATTGCTGTATCAATGAAGAAAAGCTCATGTCAAACCCTCCATAACAAGGAGGGTTCAATTTAAAAGCTTCAATTTAAAACCAACTTGCAAAGCCTTAACTTAATGTCTGATAGTTAAAAAATGAGTAGTTCTAAGTTGGTGGTAGAAGAACACTTGCCTAGCATGTATGAAGCCTTGAGTTCCATCTCCTGCACAGAGGGAGAGGGAGAGAAGAGAGAGAGGAGAGAGAGAGAGAGAGAGAGAGAGAAAGAGAAAAGCTGGATGTGGTGGCTCATGAATGTAATCCTAGCTACTAAGAATGTGGAAACAGGAGGATTGTAGTTTGAGACTGACCCCAGGAAAAAGCAAGATCCTTATCTAAAAAATAGCCTAAACAGGAAGTGACTTATGCCTATAATTCCAGTTACTTGGGAGGTAGAAATAGAAGGATTGCTGTTCAAAGCTAGCCTGGGTAAAGAGTTAGCAAGACCCTATCTCAAAGAACAAGCTGGGCAATGGTGGCATGCATCTTAATCCAGCTATGTAGGAGACATTGGTAGATCACAGTCCAAGGCTGGTCTGGGCAAAAAATGTGAGACCCTATCTGAAGAATAACTTAACCAAAAAGGACTGTGGATGTGCTCTAGTGGTAGAGCATATGTCTAGCAAGTGTGAGACCTGAGTTCAAAATTCCAATGCTATGAAAAAATTTTAAAAAACAACATGAGTAGTTTTAACTAACACTGAACCAATATTGTGACTTAGTTCAATTTTTTTTGTTTTGGATTTTGCTTTTCATTGCACAGTCAGGCATCTCGTACAATAAAGTATCTTGCATCTACTACATGGAAGCATTTTAACACTTCACCTAGTCTGAAGTCTTAAAGGGCTAGGACCCTGATTCACCTTCTGTTGGTGTTTGGGATCCCTCCTTCTGGTGTCCTTAGGGTCTTCTTTATCTCCAGAATGTGTTAGAGAATGGTACAGGTGGACTCACCTAGAGCTATAGCCACTGATTGAAAGGTACTTTAAGTCTTTGCGCTCTCAGAGATAGACAATGTATACAAGAAGGGCTTCCAACATAAGAATCATCTGAGATAGCAATGAAGGCAGAGAAATAACTTTGTACACACATCTGTTGGAAGATTTAGAGGAACTTGTACCAAGCTGCCATAGAGAAAGCCTGTGGAGCTTACAGAACCACAACTAATAACTTCACCCCTCTTCCCTCTATAGTGTGGAGGGTGGAGAGCTGTTTGACCGCATCATTGATGAGAACTACAACTTGACAGAGCTTGATACCATCCTGTTCATCAAGCAGATCTGTGAGGGGATAAGGCACATGCATCAGATGTACATCCTCCACTTGGACCTAAAGGTAGAGTGGCTTTCTATCCTAACAAACACAGAGTCTTCCCAACTCTTCCCAAATGTTTGTTGGGGGCCCTGTCAGCTATTTACCAACTCAGGAAATTTCTGCTGTACTACTTATGTTTTTAGGTACTAACAAAATCTGGATTTTTTTTTTCTGAGGTGGGATCTTGCTGTATTTCCCAGACTGGCCATGAACTCCTGGGTTCAAGCTATCCTCCTGTCTTAGCCTCCCAAGTAGCTGATACTACAGGCTCAGGCCACCACACCAGCAAAAAACTAGTTTCTTTCATTTTCAACTTCTGCCACCATCTTTAGGGCTACTATTTGCATTTCCATTTATAGAGTCTATTGCTCAGATTCTTGTAAATTGCCTCTTCTAAAGAAATCAACATGGATGTGATTTCCCTAAAGTTTGCAATTTAAACACACCATCATCACAGTGTTGTTGTTATATCCTTCTCATTATGAAGGTACACAGGTGGGAAGATTTTTTAGCTAATACAGAATTCACTAGTCTTAGCCAAACTTTCCAGAGCTCCAAGAATCCCCATCCCTCTCCCAAAGGCTTTCGTTGAAGCTCTGGGACTTTGGGATTTATTTTTCCATGGCTTACTGGAACACTGAATGGCAAGCAGGGAAGCCAGAAGAGGGTAGGGTTGAAATATCAAGATGCTGAGAGGGTTGAGAGGGCACTGCACTGGAAATGGCAGAGAACACATGAAAAAAGCCAAACCCCTTCCTTTCCCCTCTTGTTTGTTGCCCCTTCTCTCTTTATCCCACTTCACTATGAAGTCCCAGAATTGAACTATACATAGTGCAAAGGACCAAGCCCCAATAATCCTGGTCAAGTCTTATGTTGGAGCTGAGTATCATCAAGTGCAACTTCTTGTGTGGCTCAATCATTTTCTCCTTTCTGTGTTTGCACAGCATGACAGTGAGCTAAAGTATGTATTCTATATAACATACCATCTATTCCAAGTCACCAGGGACTGTGTGGCTGAATAATCTTGCCTCCTTATATAGGTTTCCATGGGCCTTCTTCATACAATTGGTTTCCCTCACTGTCTTGATTTATATGCCTTGCCTTTCCCATTCACTGTTGTGCAGCAGGAGGGCAGGGGAAATGGTATATAAAATGACACAGTCAGAAGTTAAAAATCATTAGCAAAACCCTTGGCCATGAACCGAGTATGATAATGCATATTTTCATGGAGCACATCTTCATGGTGTGCATATTCCAGGATATCCCTAAAGGGATTTGATTGGCACCTGGAGCCAGGAGCTGACTTATCATAAGTCAAATGAGTCCATCTGTGGTTCCATAACATTGATTGAGCACTTTGATGGGCAGTTTTAGTTATGGCTTGTATGTAAGGATGATAATAAAGGTGACAGCTGGATGAGTCATCCAGGACTATCTTTTCAAGGACTCCTTGAAAGGAAAAGGGCCAAAAATATTAAGAGTGCATCTCACTATGTAGGGAATTGAGAGATGACTTAAATTGGTCCCGGCTATGTTTTTATGGTCTGCAAATCTTATTCAATAAAAATTCTTTAATTTCATAATCATAAAATTAACTTTTTTGAAGTGCCTTCACAGCTGATGGTTTACGTCCTGCACACCAGTTTTTGGATGTCATACTGTTCTTTGAGAATTGGATAGCTTTATACATGATCAGTCAGTTATTTAAGCATGAAACTAATTGCTCTTACATAGCACCACTTCTATATAAAATGTTTTTTACTCACAGACATCTGTTTTAGAGCTATTTTAGAAAAGGGCTTTCAAAGATATTACACCCAGCCAAATGGACAATTGGATATTAGTAAGGAGATATGTTACATCATTTCATAAAGTATGTCTGAGTTTCTGTCTCATTTGAACCTCTTTTCCACCAAACAGAGGAAGGGGGGCCATGATCCCCACTTAAAGGGTGGGGCATGGAATCCTGGGCATCTGGTGACTTTGCCAATGCCCCAACTCCTATGGAATCATTGAAACTAGGGTTTGAGAGCTCTTAGCTTTCCTTTGAAAACATTATTTCTCTTTTATGGATGACTTTGACTTTAAATCGGTTCCCTTTTTTTCTCCCAGACCTCAATTTTTCTACCCTAATAAATGTGGGTACACTTATAAGACATTCTAGGGATCCCAAGTAATAGTAGGCTACTGCGTACTCTTCTCCACCTTTACCCCAAGACTGTCAGATTAGCAGGGCAAAGTCTTCACAGTGTCTAACTCCAAGGAACACTTAGTCAAGGGCTTTAGGAATTGAGAACAAGCTCAGCATAACCTTGGAACTTCCGAGGATGAAGAATGAATGGGAGAGAAAGGCTTCCTTTAGCATGTGACTTTCCCATAGACAAAGTACAAAGTGAAAATCTAGGGTCTGGAATGTTCACGTTTATATTGCATATTCCATGTGCTTGTTTAGGTGAATCAGGCCATTTCTTGGAACTCATAAATCTTTGGGGAAAATATTCCTGCAAAGAAGAGGAGACATACTTAATATCTTTAGGGGCAGATGTCCCGTCTGAACTGGCCTCCACCAGCCCATTTGGGAAGCCCTGAAACAGCCTCCTTTTCTTTTTTCCCTCAAGGAGGCCTCTGCCTGAACTCATGCATTATGGTAAACTGCAAAACTATGGAGAGGGACAGGGAGGGTAATGCAAGGTTGGCAGGGTACCCACAACCTCATCCACCACATAATTAAAGGAGAAAATACCCACACAGACAAGCCAGCCTCTGAGTGAAAGGCCTGATATGTTTTTCCTTAGCATTGTTGTATTTTTAGTTGTGGTTCAGGGACAATTTGAGTGAAGGATGGTTGTTTTCATTGCTAATGTGTCTCTTTCTCCTGGCAGCCTGAGAATATCTGTGTGTGAATCGGGATGCTAAACAAATAAAAATTATTGATTTTGGATTGGCCAGAAGGTATGTCTTTTTGGGCATAAGGTGCAGGAATGGAGTCAGGGGGCATGATGGATGCACATTCTTTGCAAAGATAAATCTGATATGCCCCTTGGTTTCATGCCTCGTTGAGAATTAATTTAACTTAAATTATGTTCAGACTTACCTTGTTGAATTTGGTATTTTAGCGTTTAAAAGTTTCTCTAATGTATGTGATAATAAAGTGAGAAATGAAAAATCCTTTATGAACTTTATTAAGTTAAAGCCATTAATTTCGCATTTGTAAGGATTCATCTTAGTCTTATTGTTCCATCTGTAAAGAGAAGATTTGCTTTTAACAATGTTAACAGTTTAAACAAGATTACAGAGGGTTCTGGTACAGCTAAGCTTCTTAAGGGAAAAAAAGTTTACATAGACACATTAAATTCAGCACATTAATGATGCATGTAGAATGGCATTGTAATTATTGCAGCATTTTCCTGTTCATTAGCAAAGGTGTATTCAAGCCATCTTCATGACAAGGACAGTATTGGTTTTCTTTTTGCTGTATTCTATAATTCGGATGTTCTAATTTCAGAGTGGCTCTCTCTACAACTATTTCAGGTTATTAAGATTTTATAGATGAATTTTTACTCTTAAAACCCTGGGCCTTTTTTACATGTTTCTGTCACTAGCACAAATATGCAATTTTTTTTATAGTTTCTTTTTTAAGTTTGCTTGTAACTGAAGTTACTCTGTCTCACAGACCATGTCTTTTTTCAGTGTACACAGTGTTTGGTTTTTGACTGACAGTCTACATCCATCCACTTTGTTTCCCCAATTTCAGATACAAACCCAGAGAGAAGCTGAAGGTGAACTTTGGAACCCCAGAATTCCTTGCTCCTGAAGTTGTGAACTATGATTTTGTCTCCTTTCCCACTGACATGTGGAGTGTGGGGGTCATTGCCTATATGCTGTAAGAAGCTTCACAGTATCTCTCACATACTTGCTTCAACCTTGTGTATTATATATAAGATTTTACTATTTTGAACAAAAGCCCTAATTTAGGTCTTTTAACAATAAATAACGCCTTACACATTTAGTTGCTTTCTAAGTTTGTTGAATCTTGGTGGGTGAAAGGAGTGAATTCCTTTCCCCACATCTGAAAAAAGTAAATGTAATTCCTCTTCAGAGGTCACTTTGAGTCTAGGACATTGCCTAAAGCCCTAAAAGTTATTTAAAAACAAACAAAAGCCCTCACATACTCATCTCCTTACTCCCCAAGGTGACATTTCAGGCATTTTGCTTTCTGAAATGTGACAGCTTTTTAAAAAAAAATTTGTACTATTTGAGAATAATTTAAGAGTTAGGGTGGGGGAGGTCAGCATTTTTTGGTTGCAATGATAGATTATAAAATTATGCTTCATTGTTAGGTTTTTATTTCTCCTCTTTTAAATGACAGAACCAAAAGCAACCTTTCTATAATGGGTTTGAGGCTGTTTAAAAATACTGACTTGGGATCCTATGTCCTAGACTCAGCGGTTTGTCCCCTTTCTGGGTGATAATGATGCGGAGGACACTGAGCAATGTCCTGGCATGCAGGTGGGACTTGGAGGACGAAGAATTTAGGACATCTCGGAGGAGGCTAAGGAGTTCATCGCCAAGCTCTGATTAAGGAGAAGAGGTAGCTCCAGTCCACCCTGCACACTAGGAAACTTGGGGATAGTCAGAAGCAGTGTGCCCCACCAGCATTGTTAGAATCCATTTTCCCCCATGCCATCCGTGGTGCTTATGCTATTGCAAACAGAGTGAGATTTGACCCACTTGACCTGACTAGTGATGTCAGGGACTGCTTTGGCCATGAGACCGCAGTATGGCTGTGAAAACTTCTCTTTCTGCCTTTTGCAGCAAAGCTCCAACAATCATCGGTCTCCTGCTGGGTGTCAGGTGACTCACCCTTTATCACTTTCACCTCTGTAAAGCAGTTGTGGCTCTGTATAGCTGAATTACTTCTGTACCATTTATTTGAGAATCTACTATAGGCCAGAGTGCCAACTTTTTTTTTATACATTATTTCTTTACCACTGCCCCTTCCCCTATCTAAAAAATAGAAAGTACATTCTTACTGGGTTTTTTTTTTTTTTTGGGTGCTACTGGAGGTTGAACTCAGGGCCACACATTTGTTAGACAGGCACTCTACCACTTGAGCCACACCTCAGCCCTATTACTGTTTTATGGCTGAGATTCTATGTAGTTGGCCCATTGACACAGTGCTAGTAAGTGGAGAAATAATATTTCAAACCCAAGTGACCTTCCAGGCCACACACTAACCCGTTGTATGTTACATGACCTTCTGTTTTTCTCCGTCATACTAAAACCATATTAATTCAAAATTCAGTGGGTTGAAAAAGGATATTGAAATATAGGGTTTACACTTTAGAGTCATAGAGGGGGAAGGACATTGTAATTAACTGTTTCAGATGGCTTTATATCTAAGCCATATCATGGTAGATGGTATTTAAAATTTTCAGAGTCAATATACTTGCTTATTCTTTATTATCTTTATGGCTTTTAGCTCCATAGTAAACATGCCTACGGTCAATAGCTAGGAGGGGTGCCATGGGAAGCAGCGGAAACAACACGGGCAATGGACCTGGTACAGTGCCTGATGGGAGATTCTTGCATTCCAGATTTAGCTGATCATTAATTAGTCCAGGAAATGTGTATGATATTGAGAATAGATGTATGAAGTCCAGTCCCTGCTTTAGTAAATGCATGATCTAATAGAAGAGATACATATTTTTATATAGGTTTCTTTAAAGTGAAAGAATACAATGTGGTTCACACAAAGATGGGACCAGACCTGAGTTCTACAGAGTGACGTAGACTTAGCCAGGCTAACAATATCAGTCAGAGGGGAAGGGCAATTTAGATAGTGATGTTCTTTGTCCTTATGGAAAGGTAAATAACAGTCAAAGTTATCATTATTATTATCTGCACAGTATGTACGCTAGGCAATGAGCAGATGGAAAATAGCAACCTTACCAAACTTTAGAGAATGAGAAATCCACACTTACTGTGAACATATTATATATATGTAACATATAATGTAATATATAATATGTTATATGAATATAATACATGTAGATATACATTATATGTAAATATATAGAATGTATCTACATATATAATATGCTGTTGTGTTATTTTATTTAACTCTGAATAATCCTGTGGTATGTGCAGATAATGACCATTATTTTACAGATGAGGAAACTGAGACAGAGCAGTGAAGTCATTGGCTAGCAAACAACAGATCCTAAGGCAGTGGCTGTGACCTACTGCTCCTGCAGTCTGAGGGCTTCATTAATACCTAAGAAGCATCAGATTACATTTGGGCAACTGACAATACTTGGATGAAACTAAGGCCAAAGCTGAATATCACTATCATACAATACATTTTGCATATAAAATAAACCTGAAATATTAAAAGTCTAATTATTATTACAATGCTATTGTTTACTTTTAATAGTGAGATTTTAAAAGTGTGATATTAGAGTGCAGCAGTAATCATTTTGACACTCTCAGCTGTTGGAATGCCCTGGGGATCCAAGACTGAAAATTTATGCTACTAAGCAGAATTGTGTTTCATCTGAGATTGGTAGAAGTAAAGAGTTTTTATTAATGATCTCAGCCTGTTTAGGGTTCTATAATGATGATGTTTGCAATAAATTCATCTCAAGTAAAGACATCTCTCTCTCTAAGCCTTATACTTCAATATTTGGTATCTGATGAAGCAGTTACACTGAAGCAGTTCTGTAAACTGAAGCTTCATGATGGCTTGAAACTACTTGATATTTTTCAGAAGCAGATTTCAGATTGTTGCACTCAGTTTTGTTTTGAAGGTTATTTTAATGTGATAGATATTGAGAATACCAAACAAGTTTACAAAGCTTAGAATTAGACTGTAAAATAATCTTTACTGTTCTCCCTTATATTATTTCTCAAATTGTGTTACATTTTCTCAGATCTATCCAAAAGGATATAGTCTGTTCATAAAGTAATTTAATGTGCTCTTTCAACAATTATATTAGCTCTTTTCCCTATTATAAAAAATTCAAAGTTTTAATTCAAAAGTTAGTGAAAATTTTTAACATATAAATTGTTTCTATAATCACCAAGAGTCATTTTGTTCTTACAACAATAAATGTGCATTTATTTTTCAACTGTTTGTTAGGAGTTAAATTTATGAAGCCCAGATGTTTATGACTTATTATTTAGAAGTAGATACTCAATTATGAAGTATTTTGATCACTTGTGTTACTTATCTTACCACTGTTGTTACCTGAGTTGGTTCTAATGGTCATCTATGACATCATCCATAGCACACAATTCCTTAGAAGACAGATTTGACTGTGAATTTGGCATTTGGCCATTAGTTTACCAAAGGTGGTGGAACGAGCAAAGATGAATGGCTGACACAGCATCATTGTGTGCTCTACTAATAAGTTCCTGAATTTCCCTTTAGTTGGAGAATAAGTGCCAGTGAAGCTCTCAAGCACCCCTGGTTGTCAGACCACAAGCTCCACTCCAGACTCAATGCACAGGTGACTATGCTTCTTGTTTCCCTTTTCCTGTTCTTTTGATTATTAGGTGTACATTCCCCTCAACCTTTTGTCTCAGCTTCACATCTTATGCTAGTGTTAAACTCCTTAGAATGCTTTTTTCAACAGTTTTTGTTTTAAAAGTAATGCTAATTATGATTTTAATTATATACACTTAATAGATTATTGTGTTCAGCATAACTACTATGTTTATTAAGAAATCATTGTATTCATTAAAATGAATTATATCAGAGTACTATACATACACACTTACACACACACACATTAGTATCTATGGTCTGGATATATAAAAGTATAAAGTTCTGTGGAGAACATCATCCTGAGCGAGGTTAGCCAGGCCCAGAAGACCAAAAATCGTATGTTCTTTCTCATATGTGGACTTTAGATCAAGGGCAAACACACAAGGAGATTGGACGTTGATCACATGATGAGGCGAGAGCACACAAGGGGTATGAGGATAGGCAAGAAATGCAAAAAAAAAAAAAAACAAGATAGCATTTGATTATCCTCAGTGCAAAGGAACTAATTAAAACTTTAAAGCAACAGAGGCCAATAGGAGAAGGGGACCAGGAACTAGAGAAAAGGTTAGATCAAAAAGAATTAACCTAGAAGTAACACACATGCACAGGAAATTAATGTGAGTCAACTCCCTGAATAGCTATCCTTATCTACTAGCAAAAACCCTTGTCCTTCCTATTGTTGCTTATACTCTCTCTTCAACAAAATTAGAGATAAGGGCAAAATAGTTTCTGTCTGGTAGCGAGGGGTAGGGGGAGAGAGAGGGGGCGGGGAAAGGAGGGGCAGGGGTAGGGGGGAGAAATGATCCAAACTTATATGCTCATATGAATAAATAAATTTTAAAAAAGTGTAAAGTTCTGGAGAAGACATGCTCATGTACGTAAATGTCTTCTTAAAAGAATTCAGATTTCTAAATTCTCTGCTGACCTGGTTTAGTCTGTTCTGGCACCAAATCTTAATACTCAGCTTGATGCAGATGTTCATGCAAATATATGTGGCCTACTTTACCAGAGACTAAAGACTAAAGCATTTGGTGAGAATAATTGAGTCCACACTGTGTACCAACCTCTTACAGTGACATCTCTCTCTGCTATTATCTTATGTTTGTATTCTGACTTCCTCATGTTGTCTCTTTTGGCAAGATTTCTCTCCTTGGTTTCAGATCACATATCCACCTGTGTACTAAATGTTTCCACGTGGATCTTCTCATCCTAAGCCAAACTCATCTCTCCCCACCTCACCCCATCCTCAACCATCCTCCCAGCAAAGGATACCCATTGTGTGGCTCAAACAGACCCCAGGCATCTTCCTTGTTTCCTCCTCTTCCTCAATTCCTCCATCTCATGCTTATTTTACCTCCAAATTCTGTGTATTATATCCCCTGATTGCCTCTGGAATATGTCCAATCTTCTCAATCCCATGGTTGTCCTTGCCTGGAACTTGTCCTGAGTTACTACCATAGCCTTCAAACTAACTGGCTTCAGTGCCCTCCTCATGCTGTTTCCATTCAATGAACAGGGAATATAGAACTAACAAGGAACAGACATACATTTCGGATGGTTAACTGGACAAGATGGACACAGAAGCAATAAACCCCTATGCCCCCAGGGGTGGTGAAAGACCGGGTGACATGAGCATTGGTTGAGGTGGCTGTTGCCATGCTCCTAGCATGGTACGTGCGCCATTCAGTTTCATTTCTCCACCTCTTCTCCTTATCCTCCCCACTCCCTGGGGTTCTGGAAAGGAACTTTTCCCTGACCAACAAACCTTGGAATGACTATGCTTCAGGTACTCACTTTTTCCACAGCCAGTTTTTATTGAAATTAACTCTACTTCTAAATTCAGCATCAGTACCAAGTTTTATTTGTGTCTGAATATACCTTTCCTTGATAATTGGTACTGATGCAAGTAAAATAGACTTATTACCTAGCCAGGCCTTCACTCAGACTACATAAACTGCTTATTAGGGTGACCAACCTATTTTGAGCCCATTTTCCACGACTGTATTTTTATCCAAGCTTATTGGTGTCCAAATTCACTTTGACATGGCAGGACAATATAGAAACCACAGCACAGAATTAATGACATTATACAGTCTAAAGGTTTTTTTTAAAGAATATTCTTAAACAACAGCAAAAATCATCTTTTTGTTATTCTATCCATCTTCCAGTACCTGAGGTGAAAAGATATTTTAAGAATGGCGACAATTTTTAAAAATCTCCTAAGTCTAGTTATCATGAAAGTTATATGGCCCTGTGTCAGGCACTGCTCTAACTGCATGTAATTCTTACAGCGCCAATATTGGTGGCATTATTACTATTCCCATTTTATAAATGAGGATGGGAGGGTAAGTTCTGGAGTCTGGGCAGAGCTTTACTGCTCTACTGTTGTGCTGGGTAAAGGAGGCCTAGACCATGTTTTCAGAAACATTCTTGTACATATTTCATGTGATTGAAAGCCAATATTCAAACAATATATTTTATTTTTCAATAAAATAGAGGTTGAGTATCCTTATCTGAAACGTTTGGGACTAGAAGTGTTTCAGATTTTGAATTTTTTTTTTCAGATTTTGGAATATTTGCATGCATCTTGCATCTTTAGGGACCAAGCCTAAATACAAAATTCAAATGTTTCACATATACATAGTCTGAAGGCAATTTTATGCAGTATTTTTAGTGCACCTGTGATTTGACTGTAATCCAGCAGGAGATCAGGAATGGAGTTTTCCACTTGTGGTGTCATGTTCTTGGCCCTCAAAATATTTCAGATTTTGAAGCATTTCAGATTTCAGGTTTTCAGGAAGATTTAGTTTTGGAACGATCTTGTTCTGACATGTTCCCTAAATAAGAACTTAGCTTTATGTTGGAAATTTAATTTTGATCCTAAGTTACTTACCATTTTGACCTAAATTCTATTTTAAAATATTTTATACATTCTTATTTATCTCTTTTAATTGTTTCAGATTCAGGAGTACTTAACTAATTCTTGATCACTTAAGCATGCCTATCATCTGTCACATAAGAAACATTTTTTCTTTCTTAGAAATTAAAATTTTCTGCCTTCTGTTTTATGGCTTCCTTATGCCACAACCATCTGTATGTACAAAACCGATCTCCCATCATAAATAGCCCTCACCTGGGGCAGGGCAAAGCACTCCCAAACTATGAATCTATTAGAGCTCAGCAAATACCTACCTCAGAATTCCTTAATGCTTTGGGGTCAGAAGAAGGAAATCTGAACAAATATGAGATGGTTTCTTTTCTCCCAGAACCAAGATGTGTTTTACCCTTCCTTCTCATTCTTAGTGCTACTACCATAGTTCAGACCCTTCTCTCAGTGGATTAATAAAACACTCATGAGCTGATATCCAACTGTTTTCCACTCTTTTCTCCAGTCCATCAAATCATCCTTTCCTTAATCACAACTCTGATCACACTACTCCTGTTTTGGTCAGCTTTCCATTATTATTACAAATACCTGAGTAATCAACTAGTCAAGAGAAAAAGGTGAATTTAGTTTATAGTTTGGAAGGTTTTGGGTCATCATCAATTTGGGCCTGTGATGAGGCAGAACATCATGGTGGGAGCACATGACAGCAAAACTGTTCTGCATGGCCAGGAAGAGAGAGAAAGAAGGAAGGGTGTGTGTGGGGGTGTTCCCCTAATTCCCTTTGAGGGCATGCCCCATGACCTGACTTCCTCCTATTAGGCCCCATTTCCTAAAGGTTTCACCACCTTCCAACAGCACTGTAGGCTGGGAACCAAATCTTGAACATGTGGGCCTTTGGGGGACAGTTAAGATCCAAACTATATTGTGGCAATCCCTGATCAAAAGTGTTCACATGTCCCCTAATGTCCACACCAAACCAAATGCACCAGCAGTCACAGCTGCTCTAGTACTCCCCAAACTCATTTCCAGTCTTGTCTCTACCACTCCTTGGAAAGCAGCCCAAATCCTACTGATTGAGGCCGATGTTAAATGCCACCTCTTTTATAAGGGCTTTTCTCAATCCCCAAACTGGAGTTCTTTGTCTTCTTGAATCTCTCCATGGCATTTACATCACCCTCATCTGCTAGATTTGAGTGCTCATGGAAGGAACCATACCTGTGTCTGACTCATCTTCTAGTCATTGCAGCCCCAGTGTCACAAGTCCTAACTCTTGTACTTTGTGTGTAAAAATTAAGTGTGGCTAGGGACTAAGTGGGTGGACTCAGGATTTCAGTAAGAAGGAAGTGAAGTGATGGCAGGGGCATTACAGGAGAGTGGGAGGTGTGCTTGAGCTAAAACTGTGAAGGTGGTGTCTGCTGGAGGGTCATTGGCAATTTAACCTTTAAAAATGTCTGTGGAGGGCAGGTGTGGTGGCTTGTGCCTGTAATCTTAGCTACTCAGGAGGCAGAGATTGGGAGGATCATAGTTGGAGGCCAGCCATCTCAACCCCATCTCAACCAATAATGGGCATGGTGGTATATGCCTGTTGTCCCAGCTATGTGAGATGCTTAAATGGGAGGACTGCAGTTCAGGCCAGCCCAGGCATAAATGAGAGACCGTATTCAAAAAATAACGAAAACAAAAGAGAGGTGAAAGGATGGCTCAAGTGAGAGAACACCTGGGATAAAAGAATGAAAAAGAAAAAAAAGTGTCTGCTAAAAGCCAGGTTTAGTGACCCACACCTATAATTTCATCACTTGGAAGGTTAAAGCAGGAGCATTGTTGTGAGTTTGATGACAGCTTGGGCTACATAGTGAGACCTTGTCTCACAAACAAAGAAAAAAGAATGCTTCTTGTAGAATGGCATCTACTGAATAGCAAATTATGGACTCTTATTACAAGCCAGGAACTGATGAAAACAGTTCTAATCCTTCCCCAAATGTTCCCTGGTTTTCCTAGAAAAAGAACTGCAGCTCTGATGTGCAGAACCTCGTGACCAAATAGTCTACCGAAGGCACCCATTTGAAAGGTTGGTCTCAGGTCTTTTGTTCCCCCCCACCCTGGGAATAAAGGAAATTACATTCATTTAGGAATTGACTAGGATTGAAATCTGAGATTTCTATTGCAATCAGATTCAAACAGCTCCTCTGGTTGGGGAACTGTTGCTGAAGAGGTGTTTGTGCAAGTCCTAAGCAAGAAGAGTAAGAAAGAAATTGCCTATTCCTTGCACAGATGTTATGGGAAGCAGGGCAGTGTTTTTGCCTGGAGATGGGAGAGGGCCCCAAATTCAGAGTGCTGTGTTTGAACCCTTGTTCTGCTGTTTTCTAGTGGAGGATTGTGGATAGTCTCATTACCTAAGATCACTGGGTGGCTTTAGTGAGATAGGCCAGACCAAGGCCTGGGTGCCTAGGAGGAACCCTCAATAATGAGCTCAGTAGGCTCCAGTCTCTGAACAGAAACGGTTCCAGGCAATCCTTACAAAAGTTGTGTAAGGCTTGTGGAGATGACACCTTCTTTTGTATAGATGGGAGAATTGCATCTCAGAGCCTCAGAAATGAAGTAACTCACACAAGGCCTGCAGCCAGGAAATGGAGAGCATGATTCTGAAGCCTGGGTCTCCTCCCCTGAGCTGCTGTCACCTTGGTCTTGCTCTCTGACCCTGAGTAACACCTCTGCACACAACTCAGATGTGTTTTCCTCTACCCCAATTAGAGTTTTGTTGAAATTATTAAGGAATAGTTGTATGCATGAATACCTCCTTTTATCTCAATAACTAGGTCAAGGTATGCCCTAAGGAAAACTAAAGGAGCAACAGGGCACTGACTGAGAAGCACTTTTAGAAAATCCAACATTTATGTCCTTGGAGGAGACAGACAGTCCACGGCCAGCTTAGCTGCTAAAGTGACCCCAGAGCCTTGTGCATGCTGGGCACCTCTTTACCACTGAATTATACTGGCCTTAATCCTTTATTCCAATCAGAATTTTTCTGTGTAAGATTTTTTTTTCTGGCTGCATATTACACTGCCTCAAATCTTTTGTAGAATACAATGAGATAGGAGTAAATCAGTATATAATAATCAAGGTCACAAACCAGTATTTGGAAAGCACTTGGCCTTCCACGTCAGGGAAACTTACTTATGAGTCTGTTACTTATTTAGGAAGTTATGAACGATCAGGCAGAAGGTTTGGTCTTTCAATTTACAAGGATCATTCTTGTTTGTCAAAAATAGTATTAAAGGGCATTAAAGTGTTGGGAAGCTAGGAGGCAGTTTTGTTTCAAGGACCCTTGTTGGTCCAGGTCTGGTTCACAGCACTGAGAGGCATTCACAGTAAGCTCTGAGTATGCAGGGTCCAAAGCAGCCAGGCCTGTTTCTGTTCATCCTTTCTCCTCCCTCATCCTCTCCCCCAGAAGCAGTTTTGTCCCCAGCTACCACAAACCCCAAGGGTTTGCCACAAACCACCTTCCCACCAGAAGTACTGAAGGCACTTTTGAGGCCTGGTAAAAATGAACGCACTGGGTGATAGGGGTGGCATTGCAAGGCAGCCTGTCACCGAGGTCTAGGGGAAGGAATGAGAGGAAATGGCTGGGGAGGGAGTATAGTCCTTCCGTACCAAGGCTGTCACTTTGAACCCAATGTATTGGACAGTAGTGGCAGTCATTTGGTGACAGTTATGCAGCTGGTCACACCAATGTAGCTTGCCACAACCTTTGCTGGAATTGCATGATGAGACCTCTCTCTGGACTCAGTCAAGTTTGCCTCCTAATGGCCAGGTGGGCTAGCTGCCTCCTTTCCCTGAGTTACGCCAGCCCTCTTAGGCCACAGAAATTCACCTGGGTCTCAGGCCAAGGAAAAATCTATTTAGATCCACATAATCTGGATGCTTCCTAATTTGCTTTCTTACTCATTTTTTTTCTTCACTGCTAGGGATGAAACCTGGGGTTTCATGCATGAAGAACACGTGCTCTGCCATTGACCCCTAGTCCCAGCCCCTACTTTTTTCTTTAATTAAAAATTAAATGTAAAGCTTGGTGTGGTGGCTCACACCTGTAATCCTAGCTATTTGGGAGGTAGCGAACAGAGGATCACAGTTCAAGGCCGGTCTGGGCAAAAAGTTCTTCAGGCCAGCCCTGGCATAAAATGAGACCCTGTCACAAAAATGACTAACACAAAAAGGACTGGCACCAGTCATTCATGTGGTAGAGCTCCTGCCCTAGCAAGTGCAAGGCCCTGAGTTCAACCCCCGGTACTACCAAAATAAATAGATAGATAGATAAATTTCAGATATTAAATCTGGGAGAAAACTCATTTGAGAAGTTTAAAAAAATCATTCTTCACATTATACTCTCTGCCAGGCTGAGATGAGGTTTTTGGCAAAATGTATTATGAGTGAAACCAAATTTGAGATAATATTGATTTTAAAAATATGGTGGTTAAAGATTATTCCTGTGGAAAAAGAAAGCGTTCCAGGCCATGTGAATGAGGCATATTCCACAGTGTAAATTTAGGCATATAAATCTCCTTCAATTTGTTCGAGGTTTTCTTGATACTTCAAGGAAATACTTCAAAAAATCAACCTGATGGCACTCTGTTAATTATACCCAACTTTGCATCGTTTACCAGACTATGAGAGATAAATTTAGGACACCTCCTTAGATCCATAGAAATGACTTAGGGCAGTGAACAGAGTGCAGCTCCTAGGTCAGAGGTGATCCTGAACAAATGAAAATACAGTCAGCCCTCCATATCCATGGCTTATAGCTTCAGATTTAACCAACTGTTGATGGAAAAATTTAGATTTAAAAATTGCATCTATGCTGAACATGTACAGACTCTTTTTCTTGTCCTCATTCCTCAGACAATGCAGCATGACAGCTAGGTACACAGCATTTATATTGGGTTAGGTATTACAGTATAAGTGACCTAGAGATGATTTAAAGTCTATGAGAGGAAGTGTGTAGGTTCTTTGCAAACACTACATCATTTTATATAAGGACTTGAGCATCTGTGGATTCTGGTATCTACGGTGCTGGCATCAACACCCCATGGATACTAAGAGATGACTGTGTTCCCTGCATGACTTCCATATCTCGCTCTGATACTGGGATCAAGCTGACTGTAGACCAGTGCAACAGTTTAGGAGTGGCTGTGCTACAGATGGAACAAAAAGGCCTTGTCCCTCAGTATTGCAAATAGTGGTAAAATGTCTCTCATAAACTAAAAAAAAAAAAAAAAACAAAAAAAAAAAACTTAACTCTGGTAAGCAGTAGGATCCATCAAGAGGTTTCTTTTTTTCTCTCTCACATACACACATATGTCATAAAAAAATCATCTGAGGTTTTCCTAAGGGGCACAACCAACTAATTACAATTTTAAAAGTCCTGCTGAATTAACAAGATTCATATTTTGTTTGCTTTGCAGGAAAACTGCTGTGGTTGCTGCTGCTTTGAGAAGACTTTTGAACACTCAGCAGTTCTGATGTCTTGACCCCTTTAATGACTGGCAGAGGTAGTAGGGGGAGTCCTTGAACTTGAACTTGGAGCAACTCTACTGTGTTCAGTGGGTCATCCACTGCCTGTCCCCTGGGGGCTCAGGCAGATCCCCACCTCCCATCTAGTGCAGATCGGGAAGCTGTTTCCCTGCCCTCTTGAGGTTTTTTTTTTTTTTTTAATTTTAATTTTTAAAATTTTTGAATCTTAGTCACCCAGATAGGGGTACATTATGTCTGGTATTTCTCAGACTACTAGAACAATCATACTTGAGATTTATTTGAAATTTTAAAACCTGGAGGATCTATTTAGAAGGAGAAAAATGCTTCCAGTTATTGCACTGTTCCTCTCAATGGGGTGATTATATCTCCAGAAAAAAAATCTAAGTTTGGCATACCCTGGAATACTTCATTTCTCATTTTGACTTGGTCTGAAATCAGCTGAATTCAATGGATACGTAATTTACTCGCTGAAATGTAAGCCTTCTTTGAATTCTGAGTCAAGCGGCATCAGACTTCGGTTCGGACCTTACATTTACTCTGAACTCTACTCCAAGTGCATCAGTTCTTCCAAGTAACTGATTTTATCTTCAAGTTACTGTTCTTCCTTTTCACAGTGCACTCCCTGATCTCCTCTATGGGCAGCTCATCTGTATAAAACACACTGGTTTTGGAGGCAATGCAAAAGGAATCTGTTTATGGTTAGTCTTTTAAATTACAGCCTTCAGAAGAATGCCGGCAGTCACAGGAGCTTTCCTCAAACCCCAGGTGTCAACAACAAGTGACAAGCAATGGACCTGTACCTCCTAGGGAAGGACACTGCATGGCTCCCAGTGTTGAAGTGACTAGAAGAAGTGCTCTGGTTTCTGGGTAAACTGAAACATTTAGAAGACCAAGAGAACCACCTACAGAGTCTCATCTCACTTGGTGGCTGTAAAGAAATAGCAGTTAGGCACCACAAGGCAAGAGGCCCTCTCTTCTAGCTCTTTCTTTGGGCATGGCAGAGTTCTGGTTCCTTAGCCTATCAGTTATTTAATACGAGACATGAGCACTACTGTAGGTGGCATTTGGGGGCACAGAAAGCATTGGGATGTAGAGAGTGAAACTTGCATCATTCCATATGAAGCAGAGATGATGCAAAGCACCCACAAATCCCACTGCAAATCCCACTGCACACCCACCATCCCCTCGCCACTCCACCTCGAGGCCTTTCCTCGTGTTTTCCATTTCCATACTACTGCCTGTTAGGATCAGCTCCAACAATGCCCTCATCTTTAGCCGTAAATGGTTCTAGGCTGCTGTTGTCATGATAGGAATGAGTATGATTAACTTTGTGACCCTCTCAGTGAGGGCAGGTTTAATGCACATAGTCACAGCAGGCCCACAAAGAACTAGTGCACAGCATCATTATCCTCGTGTCAAAGCAAAGGGCAAGCAGACAGAGGAAAATGTGCAATTTATTGAAGGCCACATGCCAATTTCATGGGCATGCTAGCTATAAAACCTATTCCTTTCCAGCCGTTGCTCCCATACTATGATATTTTTCTTCTTTCCTTTGGTCTATGTATTTATCTAAGGCTGTTTTCCCATATCCCTGTTATGTGACTATGGTTGAAATGTTTCATTTTCTCAAGAAAAAAAAAGAGAAAATGAAAAGACACACACACACACACACACACACACACACACACACACAGTCCTGTGACTGAAGTGTTATATTACTGTGCTATGTTTAGCTGATGCTATTCATTGAGTCTGGAAAAATACAAGCCAGTTTATGCATTAGTGCTCCTAGACCACAGAAAGCTGGCATTCACTCAAATGCTAAATAGGACACAAGGGTCTGATTGGAAACCCCGAGTGGAAGGGCATTTTTGGTCCTGTGGCATGGATTCTCTACCACAATGAGCAGGACTTTTGCAGGATGCACAGCCTGCATCCAGCTTCCATCTAACTCACACTGGCAGGTAAATTCTCCCCAGGCCCTGCCACACATGGAAGGACAGCTTAGGTCAGATATGGGCATGATTTCTTTACCAATAATCCACTTGATGACCCTATAGTTAGTGGGTGGATCTTGTTTGAATTTATAGTTAAATTTCCACATTTGGATGGGAAGGCATCCTCATGCCAGCAGGGCGCCTTTAATAGGAGAGCTGAGGATAGTTCACATTGCAGAGTTGATGATTACAGTCTAGAGTTACGGTGGAACGGGAGATTAAAAGTCTGGTGTTCGTCCTGTCCCCTTGCTCCACGCCCATGTGTGGCTGCTCCAGCAGAGAGCCTGTAACTCAATGAATTGCTGCTCTGGTGGGGAAAGGGGCTTTGCAAAGTTGGGAAATCAAACCAGATGCAAGTGTGAACTCTGAGAAGCTGAGTCTGGTTACACTGGGGCTATTGTCATCAAATTTTCCGAGAAGTCATCAGGACTTGAGAGGCTGTATTTCTCCTCCACCCTCTAATGGATGATATGGCCTTGCTCACACTCACTCTGGCCGTTCTCCTTTCTTTAGCAAATGGAGGAGATTTGCGAGGCATGGCACGTCCCACTGTCTGCAGAGAAATAAACCGACAGATTATTATGAAGAAAGCGTACCGATGTTTGTGATTTGGAGGACACCAACACTTACCCAAAATCTGTTCATATTTACAACCAGGGTGAAAAGGGCTCATGCTCTCATTTGTTACATAAAAAACTTGAGAAGGGATTCTCATCTCAACTAATTGGGGCAAAGATTCCCAGGGTGAATTGGGTAACACTTATACAGTTGCATACCGTAGGCTTCTTTTCATGGCTTTTTGTCTGATGTTAATTTGTCTTCTTTCCTTAAAAATGTAAATAGGCATGCTAGTTTCATTGTGGCATACTTGATATATGTTCTGAAAGATGTGTGCATACTTATATTTTCACCCATTTAATGAAAATTAGCAGAGAAATTTTTCTTCTCATTTTAGAATCAAACTAGGATTTTATACTAAGGAAACGAGAATCCTGCTCATTATTTCATTCCTCCTTGCCTCCCATGCTTGGTGCTCTCTCTGCCCTACTCCAGCCATTCAACATGGGGTGCCAGTAGGCCTATGTTCCTGTTTAGATTGGGCTGTGGGCCAGCTCATTTGGAAAGTTCATTTGTAAAATGAAAGCAAGAGGAAGAGGTAGGGCCCTGGCAGGCTGTGGTGGTTAGCCTTAGAGCAGCCCTGCACTCCTGCCAGTCCTGCCATTTGGTTGGCTACACCATGGCTGAGGCTTGGTGCCTGGCATCTCCAGTGCTCCTATCTGTGTGTGCTCTTTAAGTTTCTCTACTTCCTTCTCTTTCTCTTATGTCAGAATCAAAGTCTACCCCCGCCATCACAGCCTTCCTCTATGGGCTTTTCTTTCTCTCTTTTCTTCCCTTTCTTTCACGCTGGGGATGGAATCCAGGGCCTCACATGTGCTAAGCACATGTTCTACCACTTAGTTCCTTTTCCAGCACTGCCAAGGCCTTTTTGAGATGAAAATTTCATTTCCAAATGACAAATTGCTTTCCAGTCAATGCTGGACTTAGTTGATGCTGAGCCCGAGATTCAGATCACTTACTGGTATAGCTTGAAGTCTGTGGCTTCTCAAATTACAAGTGTTGCATGTGTCTCCTTGTTTTCACAAATGTTCTTTCACCTTCCATGAAGGCTTTTGACTCAACTACGGCCACCCATTCAAAAGAGCAGAGAACATTGGCCCTTGAGTGTTCAGACCTTGGATGTGTGTGTTTTGCTGACAGATATGAGTGAGTCCTTCTGATGAGGCTTACCATGTAGATAAGAACTGGAAGTGGAGTCATAATATGGTATTGCATATATCATCTGTATTTTTTATTTCCGAATGTTAGGTATACTCAACTATATGTCTTTGCCTTATGAGGGTGTTCTATAATAGTCATGTATATGTATTATATCAAAGAACAAACATGGATCTTATTCTTTGTTAATGAGCTAAATTATTCAATAAAGTAAACTTAGCAAATGTAATATAAACGTTCTCCTTTATGGCAGGGTCTGATGATATGACCACTTCCATGACCTTAAAAAGGCCTTGAACTTATAGGGGCTCCAGAGCCATCCACAGGACTACCAGCCAGCCCCATGGGAGAGAAGCAACTGTCCATTTAAAACATGGTGGTTCCCATGTACCAACACAGGATTCAGGGTTTTTCCTATTAACACAGAAGTATAGACTGGATATTTGTAAAGTTTCTCCTACCAGGACAGTGGGTAAAATTTATTAAGGCAGATTTGCGATTATTCATTGCTTTAATGTGGAGTCATGACTGTTCTGAGACTTAGCAGAGTGTCAGCCTTGGAAAGCCTACCACTTCAGGACCTCAGAATGGAGTAGCCCCCCTGCTACAAGCTGCAGCAGCACTTTCTGAGCTCAGCATCTACTTTGGAGATGCAACTGCTCCGCTTCTGAGTCAGATGCCCGTCTGTGACAACATCTGGATCCTTCGTAGCCCAGCAGCAACAATCCCGCACTCAACCTGGCTGAGACAAGCCCTGAGTTTTCCATTGCCAATATTGCAAGTGTGGGTGTTGGGAAAGGGGTCTGTGTTTTCATCAAAGCAACCCTGCACCTCTCTCTTGAGCCTGGTTTCTCTCAACTCCAATCTCCAACCTCTAGGCAAGGCATTGTGTGTGTGTGTGTGTGTGTGTGTGTGTGTGTGTGTGTTACCGGGCTTTGAACTCAGGGCTTACTAAGCAGGGCACACACCTTAGTGTACCCCTGTTAGTTGTACAGGGGGTTTCATTGTGACATTTATATATGTGCTTACAATGTTTCTTAATTTGGTTCACTCCCTTCATCATTCTCCCTCATCCTCCCTCACCCCTTTCTTAGAACAATTTCAGTAGGTTTCATTGTTCAACTTTCATACATGAATACAAAGTATTGACCATATTCCTCCTTTGCCTCTCCATTTACCCTTCCCCCTCCCACTGGTACCCTGCCCCTAACAGGACCTATTTTACCCTCCTGTCCTTCATTTTTTTAAGTTTATAGTGATTGTTCAAGGAGGTTTAGCCATGGTATTGCACACATGTATATATTATACTTTAATCAGATTAAGCCCCTCTGTTACTTACTCTTTCCCTATCTCCCTGTTCTCCTATTATTCAACAGCTTAAAATGCATTTTGTTATACTATCTTCACA